GGGGGGGATGCCGTGGGGGGGCCAAGGCCTCCCGTTTTTTATTTTAGCACCACCCTGAGACCCCGGGGGCGAAATATTAAAAAAAAAAAACCCCCCCCGCCTTCTCCTAGGTTTCGGATGCCCCCCCCCCTTCCCCCCCCCCCCCCCCCCTCCCCCTTAGTATGTAGGTCTGGATCCGCCACCGCTATTGACCTGCCGGAATAGAGTGGAGAAGTGTGACGTCACGTTACCATGGTAGCAAAATTTTGGGATCATAACAAAAGGGAGCTTAGGCAACAACGACAGCGACGGCAACTAGAACGGCAAAAAAAAGCAATAAGTTTATATTAGTAAAACAACACAACTTGACACGTGCATCACGCTTTTTTGCACATTTTTTAGCCATCGTTGCACGACTGCGACATGAAACTTCCTAATTTCCCGCGTCCGCTTTGAGTATTTGGTGAACACTACACAAAAAGTTTCTTTTTCTTTTTCTAAACTTAGATACGGTGCTTGCGGTTTCAGTCCAGAAAAAAAAACGCCAACATTTGACAAATTAAATGATAGTGAATAAGATCGATGAAGTTTGAAAGAGTGCGAATTTACTTTTCAAGTGAGTTTTCGGTTTGTTGTCATCCAAAAATTTTGCTACCATGGGAACGTGACGTAACGACTTCTCTCTATGTATAGCCTCCTTCTATATCTTCTCTATATCTCAATTTAGTAAAACCCAACTAGTGGACTATTATCAATGCTGCGTTCTGATTGGTTGAGCTACTACTAGGCTGTATGTCATAGCCCACTAGTGGCGAAAAGCGCGAGCTTTTTGGCGGCAAAAAAGGATTAAAATCTAGCTTTAACTAGCTAAAAGTTTTTTATTCTCGATATTTTTGACCAACTAGCTGGATTTTACTAAAACAATTATTCCTCTCGCCCTCATGGCCTCTGAGTCAATAGCCCATGAGGCCGAAGACTCAGAGCCTATTCAGGCTCGAGGAAAAATTGTTAAGTATTTGCCGGTTAATCAAACATTACAACCTAATCCTTTCGCTTTCTGATTACGCAGCCAACACTAAGTTCCACACACATCCAATCACAGGCCGCCCAAGCTCAGTATGAGAGTATGATCATCTCAACGGATCGGGAAAATACCACACAGGAAGCAAGAACACACCAATTAAATAAGGTAAAACCTTTTTTTATTGAAAATTCCTGAGAGTGTTTACTTCTTGAATCTATTACCCGAATTTCCATTCAAATTCCTTATATTTACGGCCATTTTAAGGATTATGCAATATGATAGCACACGTATTAATGATTATACTCTCATACCGAGCTTGGGCTGCCTGTAATCCAAGGCGAAGTGGCAAGAGCCGATTACCTTCAACATTGTCCCAAGGGCTTTTCCTTTAGAAAATTGGAGGGGCGCCCCTCCCATTTTCTAAGGGGAGGGTCTGAGACGTCACGACGTACATTTGCCCGATCCCGGTACGGCGTTTTCCCAGTACCTCTCGGTCAATTCACTTCGGTGACGTATCTGAGTCGAACGGGTGGGAAACGCCTCACATTTTCGCTTGGACCGCGCGACCCCAAACGCTTTGGCCGGGCGGAATAATGAGGCCTAGGAACTAAGCAAGGTTTTAGTGAGAATTTTGAAATTTGTTGATCCTTTCTTTTTAGGCAAAAATAAAAAGTGTTTGGTGCCGTTCTGGATAGAAAACAAGTAGACTATAAAAAAGCATCAATTAAAGAAAGTCGCAATATTGACATTTTTCCAAAGGGGTTAGTCCATGGTTTTGGTCAAAAATTTGAACTTTCTTCATCCATCCTTTCTTCATCCATCCTTTTCAGTTAAAACAGGTTGACAAAAGTGTTTGGTGCCGTTCTAGATAGAAAACAAGTCATTTAAGACGATATAAAAACATCAATTTAATTTTTCGCAAAAATTGACATATTTCCAAAGGGGCCTTTTATGCATGGGGTTTTGGTGAAAAATTTCAAATTTCTTCATCCTTTTTTTTAGGCAAAATAGGTTAAGAAAAAGTGTTTGGATTCTTTCTAGCTAGATAGAAAACAAGCCATTCTAGAAAGTCGAAAATCTGACATTGAGCCATGGTGATGTTCAAAAATTTTAAATTTCTTCATCCTTTTTTTTGGGCCAAACAGGCTTAGAAAAAAATCTTTGGTGCCCTTCTAGATAGAAAACAAGCCATTCTAGACTATAAAAACATCAATTTAAGAAGTCGAAAATCCGGCATAAAACAACAACAAAAACTTTATTTTCAATCAAATTTTAGAGTAGCTAGGGAGCTAATATCTTTGAGCTGACACCACAAAAAATACATAAAATACATCATGAATAATAATAAAATAATAATAAAAACACTGACATACATGTGTAAAAGAAAATATTATTTACAATTTTAGTTATAAGTATGTTCAAGCAAAAAGAATTTACGTAACGGTAACACCCTGCATTTTAGTCTTAAAGTCTGCAAAAATACTAGTACGAAAAAAGTCAGGCAGCGTATTCCACTGCTTAGCTGAAAAGTAAGAAGGGGAGCTATAAGACCATAGTTGTTTTAGGTTTACTGAGTGAAAGAATGTAGTTGCCACGAAGATCATAGGACGAGGACCGAAGTGAAAACACATTCTTCATATAAGCAGGAAAATGAGTGAAAAACAAATTCTTATATAAAAATATGAGAAAATTCTGAACGCGCTTGTTACACAACAAAGTAGAGTTGACTTTCGAAAGAAGAGTGGTATATAGAGACGACTTATCTCCAAGTATAAATCTAAGTAATTTTTAATTTAGTGCTTCAAGCTTAGTCGGCATCGCGGGCTCCACAAAAGTGCCAGACATAGGAGCAATAACAAANTCAATCAAATTTTAGAGTAGCTAGGGAGCTAATATCTTTGAGCTGACACCACAAAAAATACATAAAATACATCATGAATAATAATAAAATAATAATAAAAACACTGACATACATGTGTAAAAGAAAATATTATTTACAATTTTAGTTATAAGTATGTTCAAGCAAAAAGAATTTACGTAACGGTAACACCCTGCATTTTAGTCTTAAAGTCTGCAAAAATACTAGTACGAAAAAAGTCAGGCAGCGTATTCCACTGCTTAGCTGAAAAGTAAGAAGGGGAGCTATAAGACCATAGTTGTTTTAGGTTTACTGAGTGAAAGAATGTAGTTGCCACGAAGATCATAGGACGAGGACCGAAGTGAAAACACATTCTTCATATAAGCAGGAAAATGAGTGAAAAACAAATTCTTATATAAAAATATGAGAAAATTCTGAACGCGCTTGTTACACAACAAAGTAGAGTTGACTTTCGAAAGAAGAGTGGTATATAGAGACGACTTATCTCCAAGTATAAATCTAAGTAATTTTTAATTTAGTGCTTCAAGCTTAGTCGGCATCGCGGGCTCCACAAAAGTGCCAGACATAGGAGCAATAACAAAATGAGGTAAAATATACGCTTTATAAAGTTTTAATAGCGGAGCTCCACGCGCGGCGCTTCTCGCCGCGCATGGGCGGAGCCCCATAGCTAAAGAAATGTGGTAATCTACCCATCCGAGAAAATTTGATAATCACGTGACCGTACACCGACCGACCGACCGACCGACCGACCGTCCGTCCATACCACGGGCATACCAATGTAAAATAATTCAATCAACAGGTATAGCAACCAAAATGCAACTCAAGGTTTTATTTGGAAGGAAATCATATGACCGCCCGAACTTTTAGAAAGAAAAAACAACCACAAAGTCGTGTCTTTTCGGCGTTATTTTTATGTTTACACTAACGTGGATAACAGAGAAAGAGCTAGAGCTAGTTATTGAAAACAAAGGATACGAATTTCGTCGGGTGAAAAACATGGAAATTCAAAGCGGCGGTGAGAAA